CCAGAAATGTCTCAGGCCACAGTTTGTTTCTTTTTCATCGCCGTACTGGTGAACACATGTGCAAAGCTGGCAGAGCTCAGAGATTAGCTGTGCTGACACGTGGAGTACCTGAAGTCTTACCTCAAAACAGTGGTCTAAGGAGGGCCAACGTGCTTCCATAAGTCTGGTAGGGAAATTGGCAAAATATCTGGACAGGGCACTTTTCCATCAGAAAAGTGTAACACTCCTTCTCTCATATACCTTCCTCCTGAGGACTTCAAAGTTCTAAACAGCCCATTATCTTATTAACCTTAACAATCCAGTCAGGCAGGTAAGAGAGTGGTTATTATTACACCTATTATTACACCTATTTTAAAGATAAGAGCCCTGGCTTGGTAAGAGCATGTAACTTCTCCAAGGCCACACACTAAGTTAAAGAAGAAATAAAACCAGACCAGCTCATTTCAGTCTAGAAATTTTTCACTGTGCATTAAGTGATTTCTGCTTTCAGGTAAAAGAAAAGTTAGAATAATTAAAAGCATTACATACATACATACACACACACACACACATATATATATGAGCCTGGTGGGCTATAATCCATAAAATTGCATAGAGTTGGACTCAACTTAGTGACTAAACAACAACAAATATATATATATATATATATATATATAATCATTTTGTTTGTGTAACAACAGTGTGTTTGGAAAAGAGTAACCTGCTAAAAGATTATGAGAATTATCAGACAATTAAGTAGCCTGATAAAAAAATTTTCCATTTATTTCTGTCATTTTATCTCCATAAAAACAATCTGTACATTCTGAATTCTGAACAACCTTGCTATATTTCTGCAAATGAAGTGTAGCATCATGGATGATCCAGGAAATATTCTATAATTTTATGTTTTCTCAGCAACCACAGAAATTGTCTTAGTTAAACCTAACCTAATAACTGTTTTAAAGGAAAAGGGGAAGTTTTTGGTTTATTTTACTTCTTCATCCCATCTGAAACAGTAGATGTATTTACAGAGCTTTATCACAACTGTGGTAGGAAATATTTGCATTTAATCTATCATTCATTCAACTACAAGGATCCTGAAGACAAAGCAGTGAACAAAGAAGATGGAGACCTCACCCTCATGGCGACAAATGCTAAATGGGAAACTAAAGCAGCATGAAGGAGTGAGAGTGCGCAGGATGAGAGGTGAGGGGGAAGGGTGCAGGGCGCCCTGTTAAACCAGAAATCAGAGAAATCCTATTTTCATGACCTTTGCGCACCACCGATTTAAAAAGGTAAGGAAGCAAATAAGTGGACGTCTGGAGATAGAACTGTCCAGGCAGAAGGTATCCAGCTGTCTGGAAAGAAGCGAGCCCGAGTGGGGAAAACAAGGTCAGAGGGGCTGGGAGGAGGGATGAGAACAGAGATCACATAAGGCTCATGGTTCTGTGCAGACTTGACTTTGACCAGAAGTGAGACTGAAATTCTTCAGGGGTTCAGAGCACAATATGAAGTGACTTGCATTCTCTAGGGTGAAACAGATCACCAGCCCAGGTTGGGTGCATGAGACAAGTGCTCGGGCCTGGTGCACTGGGAAGACCCAGAGGGATCGGGTGGAGAGGGAGGTGGGAGGGGGGACCGGGATGGGGAATACATGTAAATCCATGGCTAATTCATTTCAATGTATGACAAAAACTACTGTAATGATGTAAAGTAATTAGCCTCCAACTAATAAAAACATATGGAAAAAAAAATTAGAATAAAAAAAATTAAAAAATTAAAAATAAAAGGAGAGAGGGATGTGAGGATTATGCAGGAATGGAAGTGGGAGCCCCCCTGGGTGGTGAATGTAGTAAATCAGGTACAGAAAATGGTGGCTCGGTTTGCCACAAGAGTGGGGATGAAAAGGCAGCAAGGAGCCCAGATACATGTTGAAGGTGCAGATGACAGGATCTGCTGATAAACTGGATGATGCATATGAAAGAAGATAAGTCAAGGATGGATTAATGGCATTTAACTTGAGCAACAAGACGTTCGAGTTTGTGTTTACTGAGCTGGGAAGCCTGGGAGTGGAGCAGTCTTCAATATTCTGTTTTGGACACAGTGAGCTTGAGGTGTCTTCTAGATATTGTAGAGATGCTGAGCTGGCAGTTCGATGGAGATCAGCGGAGCAATGCTTTACAAAGACAGAGGTTCTTAACCAACCCCCTTCAGTTACTCATAAGGAAGCATTAGCAGTGTTCTCATAAACATGTTTATTAGAAGCTTTGGCAGGAATCTGGGTCTCCCGAATCCCAGTTTATCTCTTCACTTTATCACGTTATAACAATATGTCTCACTTTCACCATTACAATGCAGTTGTGGAGGTTAAAAATTATACTCCATGCAAATACTCAGCACAGTTCCTGGCATACAGAGAGCATTCAACAATTGTTGGTTGTTGTTTTTTATTTTTTTTACTGGATGTTTATCTATAAAATATGACTAATAATTCTCACAGATAAAGTTTGAATTTATCTGGGAAGGGCAACGGAAAGCACTTAAAAATATGCAGGTCAGTTCTACAAAATGTACATTAGTATTACAAAGCATTATTGATTGAGCCTTACCAAGTAAGACATGAAAAATACAAAAAATGAGTTAATAAAAATATTAAAAAATAAAACAACAAAAAGCATAACTTTTTTAAAAAGTTAGACTTTGCTGTTTAAAAAAGTCAAAATCTCAACAGCAAAGTCTACTTTTTAAAAAAGTTATGTTTTTTGTTGTTTCAATATTTATATTAACTCATTTTTTTGTATTTTTCATGTTTTACTTGTTAAGGTTCAATCAATAATGCTTTGTAATATCAATATACATTTTGTAGAATTGATCTTCATATTTTTAAGTGCTTTTAGTTGCCCTTCCCAGATAAATTCACACCTTATCTATGAGAATTGTTAGTCACATTTTATTTTGATTAATTCACTTCATTTAACCCAAAATAGGGCTTCCCTGATACCTCAGTTGGTAAAGAACCCACCTGCAATACAGGAGATCCTGGTTCAATTCTTGGGTTGGGAAGATCCCCTNCAGAGAAGGTTCCTTGCCAATGCAACCCTGTCAATAAAGTCTGAATGCCCCAAAGGTCCCCAAGAGAATTTGCACTCAAGAACCCAGTAATGGTCAGCTGCTGCTGCTAAGTCACTTCAGTCATGTCCGACTATGTGACCCCATAGACAGCAGCCCACCAGGCTCCTCTGTCCCTGGGATTCTCCAGGCAAGAATACTGGAGTGGGTTGCCATTTCCTTCTCCAAAGCATGCGTAGATGCTAAGTCGCTTCAGTCGTGTGACACTGTGCAACCCTATGGACAGCAGCCTACCAGCAGTAAGATTTAATTCCTTCTTATAATTTTTCATTAAAAACAATGCTTGCCCACTTTTCAATTCTTTGTTATCACTATTTGATGCCCTGTTATTTTAGCAATGAGAAGAAAGGTGTCTATAAGTTAGACAAACAAGGTAGGTAGAGATCAATTTATAAAAGATGTTGCCTAACAGGCTAAGGGGTTTGGATTTTACCATGAGGCCAATAAAACTGATAATATAAGATTACTATAATGGTTAATCTTATGGGTCAACTTGGCTAAGCAATGGTACCTAACTGTGTGGCCAAAGAACCATCTGGATGTTGCTGTAAAGGTATTCTTAAGATATAATCAACGTTTACATCAGTGGACATTAAGTAAGGCAGAATACCTTTTATAATGTGGGTGGCCCTCAACCAGTCAGTTGGAGGCCTTAAGAGAAAAGGTTGAGGCCCCTTTCGCCTACTGCCCCTGCAACACATGAAGGAATTCTGCCTCCAGACTCAAGACTGCAACATCAACCCTTCCCTGGGTATCCCATCCTACAGATTTTTCAGACTTTCCGGCTCCTCAATCACGTTAGCCTATTTCTTAAAACATGTCTTTCTTTCTAACAACTTCCTGTTGTTATATGTCTATATGTTATATATAGATTTCCTTTTATTTCTGTTTCTCTGGAGAAGCTTAACAAAATCACTTCAGAGTTAAGTATTCTTTTATTAAAAAGTATATATGCCAAAATACGAAGAGTGGCTTTCTCTGGGTGACAGGACTATGGATGAATTGCCTTTTCTTCTTTATACATTTATGTAGTCGGTGATTCTTCTTGGAAGAGCATATATATTAATTTTATTTTTATAATCAGAAGCAATGAACTCTTGAATCAAAACTTTACATTACATCTTCCAAATAAATCTTTTATGGAAATTGTTAAAATTTTTCTAAAATCGTACACATGCTGGAAATTGTATACAATTTTAATATAGAGGCTTGTCTAATAAAAAATGCAATGAAGATTATAGGTTCTTTTCATGTTTTCCAACTAACTTCTATGGATTTTCAAAATATTAAACATATTAACAGGCCTTTGTCAAATGGATAAGAAATTTCCCAGGGCACCAAAATTTGCTTACACTTTGATAGACTGGTATAACAAAAAGAAGGTTGTAACTCCAAAGGATGGGAACTAATCAACAAATTAACAGACAAAGGTTTATTGGGCATTAATCATCCGACCGTTGTTCACTGAAACAGGTGCCAATATACAAAAATATGATTTTTCTGGCCCTGAAGAACACAAAGTACCTGTGATAAAGCTATTATCATTAAGTTCAGAAGCCTAATACCACTAAACATTTGAGTCATACTCTGACCACTTATTCTCATGGCATGAACACCCAGCAGCATCTCAAAGAGAGTATGTCTTTGTATTATGGCCACAGAGGAAAAAGTTGGTGTTCAGAGAACCTAAGTGTCCAAGTTAGCATTCTGGTTTATGTATTAAGTCTCCAGGAGCTTGATTAATTTGAGCCTACTCTGAGAAACAGATCTACTTTTTTTTTTAATTGAAGAATACTCGATTTACAATGTTCTATTAATTTCAGGTATACAGCAAAGTGGTTCAGTTATATATATAATTTATTTGTCAACTCATTTGCATATATATACAGGCTTCCCTGGTGGTTCAGATGGTAAAACATCTGCCTGAAATGCAGGAGACCCAGGTTCGATTCCTGGGTCAGGAAGACTCCCTGAAAAAGGGAATGGCTACCCACTCCAGTATTCTTGCCTGGAGAATTCCATGGACAGAGGAGTCTGAACCTGGAGGGCTATAGAAAACGGGGCTGCAAAGAGTTGGACATGACTGAGCGACTAACATTATCACACTTTCATATATATATATGTATATATATACATGAAATATACATATATAGATATATAAATTCTTCCAGATTCTTTTCCCTTATAAGGTAGTATAAAATATTGAGTATACTTCTCTGTGATATACAGTAGGTCCTTGTTGCTTATCTATTGCATATATGTGTGTGTGTATGTTTAGTTGCTTAGTTGGGTCCGACTCTTTGCGACCCCATGGACTGTAGCCCAACAATTTCCTCTGTCCATGGAATTTTCCAGGCAAGAATACTGGAGTGGATTGCAGTTTCCCTCTTCAGGGGATCTTCCTGACCCAGGGATTGAAACTGCATCTCTTCCGTCTCCTGCATTTGCAGGCAGATTCCCCTTCCATTTCATATATAGTAGCGTGTATGTGTTAATCCCAAACTCCTAATTTATCCCAAGTCCCCACTTTCCACTTTGGTAAACATAAGTTTGTTTCTGTTTCTGTGAAAGAGATCTACTACTCGAGTACTAAAAAATGCGTTTCTGAACCAGCAAATTCTGGCAGATTTGTGCAAAATCTGGGTAATTGTACACTGAGCAAGGTGAAAATATTTGCCTATGCCACCCTGTGAGAACTACCTGGCTTGATAATTTGCCTTAAACAATTACACACCTTTGCACTGCCAGACAACGTGGGTTTTCTCACTAATATTTTCACCATAATTATTCAAATTATATGGTTCTCAAAAGTTAAAGTGGCTCAGATAACCTCATTAAACATATTATATATTATTACGCATCTTTAAATTTCTCTGCTCAGACTTCATGCAGTGTTATTACAACTATAGTAAGCATCACTTTAAGCTTAACTTTTAAAACTAGGTTACAGACAAGAGTACAATAAAGAACAGTCTCCTTAAAAATCATTAAATAACAGTTTTTCTTAATTTAAATATACATCCTAATAGGAAAGAAGAATTACTGCAAAAAGAACTTGAATTATCACAGACTGCTCACTCTCTTAACATAAAATGATGAAAACATTACCAGAATCTTTTTTTTTTCCTTTTTAAACTCTAAGGGAAATGAAACTATGAAACTTCATCCAGATCAAAAATTACTTTTACATGTTGTTTTTATTATTCTAAGAGGAAAAAACATTTAAAAGTTAAAGTATAGTTAGTTCCAAGGGAATATTCAGAAAAGATATATTTCCCGAACTTTCTATGTTTTTAAGCTTCATGGTAACAAATTACACTCTAAAAGAAAGATCTATTTTTTTAAGTAATCTACATAATGGCTGTAATTCCTTTATAGTTTTAAACATTAGAAATGGGTTTTGAACAAGAAATCTAGATTGCTGTTGCCAGGACTTACTGTAAAATTTTTATAGGAAACACAAAAACTCTAGCTAACTTGAGAATTATATTTAATCTAGTAAGTATCATACCCTAGTCAAAAAAAAAAAGTATTAAAAAATTCAGGGGAAAAGGCCAAGAACAAGCACATAAACAAAGTGAATAAACATGTCAACAGAAGAATATAGAAGCTATCTCAAGCTGAATAACTTTCCTATGCTTATTACAAGGATGTCATCTTGGAAGATGAAATACAGTATCATAAATTTAAAGGTCACTGGATTTTTCAAGGTAACCCAAACACTGTAAGGACATACAATTAATCCTCCCAACAGTTAGTGTATAACCAATAATTGCAAGAGCCCAAGCTATGTTTCATAAACTCTGTCTCTTCCTATGTGCTCTGAGCTATAGTCTAACTTAATAAAAAAACACTAAATCATCCAATCCCCTTTGATATAGATTATGTTTAGACATACTGAAAAAAAAAATGCATTTTTATTTAAAAGTTATATTTCATACAATTAAATGAATTATCTACATTTGATCAAAATATATTTTACATGCTGAATAGTCAGTGCAATCTATAAAAGATACCAGATATTTGAAAATATCACCATTGTTTCCTCTAACCCTAAAGGGCCAGTCCTAAATTCAACCTTTAACCCTTTAAAAAATCCCATTCCAAATGATGTTTTTCTCCTTTTCAAACAATGTTTACAGCATTAACTAAAGGCTAATGATATTTTTCAAAGTGACTTTTTAAAACAATTTTATTCATAGCTATATCTATTGAAAATACTTCCAATCAGAGCTCAGGTGATATATATTACTTACAACATTTATTCACAAAATATTCATCCTCCTGAAAGTTGTTTTTCAAGGGTTCAAATAGGTACTATAATCATTAGATAATATACTTACAGAAACAAGTAAATATGATAAGTACTGTGAATGTGTACAGGCAAGCTTCATTTTTCAACTACTGAACACAGGTGCATACGATACAAAGAAATGTGTTTTTGCAAATGTAGCAGATGAATCAACAGACTTGAAAAACTTGAAATTTTGAAAATTTAACTTTTGTATGCTTTAGGCAATTAGCCATAAAGGGTTAACTTAAGAGTTAAGCATCAACAGAGTCCTTATTCTGAGCCTCATGTTTAGGTGTGTCCTGTTCTTACAACAGCTTCCCTCATAGCTCAGTCAGTAAAGAATCTACCTGCAATGAAGGAGACATGGGTTCGATTCTTGGGTCAGGGAGATCCCCTGGAGAAGGAAATGCAACACACTCCAGTATTCTCGCCTGGAAATTCCATGGTCAGAGGAGCCTGGCAGGCTACAGTCCATGGACTCAACAAGAGTCGGACACGACAGCGACCAAACCATCATTCTTACAATAGGCCCACAGAAATGAGCTCTAGATATACCTATTTTTAGATATGAGAAAACCAACTTGAAGAGGTAAGCCAGTGATTCTTCCAGTGTGGTCTCTGGACCACCAGCAGCATCAGCATCGTATGGGAACATTTCAGAAATTCAGACTCTCAGACCCAACTCCAGAACCGCTGAATCAGAAACTTCGGGGTTATGGCCAGCAATCTGGTTTTATCAAGTCCTTCAGGTAATGCTAACACACTAACATTTAGAACAACCGAAGGGTTGGTGTTTTGCCTGATGGTACACATCCAGGCTTTAGTGAAGCAGGAGGGGCTTCTCTCTTTCATTACTTTTATTAATAAATCTCAAGTTTTAAGTCAGTACCTTCTACAAGGCCTTTCAGCTGTCAGCAACCCTTGTTTCAAATTCTTATTTTATTTAAACCTGGATGACTCTTGATAAAGCGAGTATAATAAACGTAATGGAATCTTTGATGTTACAGAACCTTACAAGGCCCCAAGGTCAGCATTCTGAAAAATGTACAACTGTCATGTAAAACACAGGAAACATTCCTAATATATTGTCAAGATTTGAAATGGGAAATATTTGATGCCTCCAGCTCCCAGCTGTCAATATGGCTAAACTGTCTCTCCATCCCATCTTTCTCAGCCTACAAACAGGCCTTCTTCATTAAACAGGGGCGGTGGGCAGCATTTTAGTACCTGTGCTTTGATAAGAGAGGGTTATTTAAAGTTGGGCTATTTAAAGCAGAACTGGGACTGTTCATTCTCTCAGAGCAGGGGTCCCAACTCCCTGGGTGTATGGCCTGTTAGGAAACCAGGCCTCACCACAGAAGGCAAGTGACAGGCTAGTGATTAAAGCTTCATCTGTATTTACAGCCACTTCACATGACTCATACCTGAGCTCCACCTCCTGACAGATCAGGAGGGGCATAATAAATGGAATGCACTTGAATCATCCCAAAACCATCCTCCCTGCCTCCCCACTCCCACCAGTCCGTGGAAATAGTGTCTTCCACGAAACTGGTCCCTGCTGCCAAAATGTTTGGAGACCAGAGTCTTAGAGAACCCACCGGAGGGAATCAGAAAAAAACAGGCCCCACCTCTCAAAATAGCTCCTTCATTCACCTCTTCAGTCATTCCAGACCCTGGCTTCACCAGAACCAAAAGCAGACTTTGAGGTACTATGCCACCACCAAGGTTGATTCCACAAACCAACCCTGATGATGGAAACAATTAGTCCTACCAGGGAGGGTCTCAGCATCTGAGATCCTTATAAAATGGGAACTTGGAACCAGCTTGGGAAAGTGTCCAGAGCACTTTATTTAAAGGAACACCTGTGTGTAAAGTGAAAGTGTTAGTCCCTTAGTCATGTCAGACTCTTTGTGTCCCCCTAGGCCACCAGGCTCCTCTATCCATGGAATCCTACCGGCAAGAATACTGGAGTGGGTTGCCATGCCCTCTTCCGGGGAAACTTCCCAACCTAGGGATCAAACCAAGGTCTCCTGCATTGCAGGTGGATTCTTTACCATCTCAGCCACCAGGAAAGCCCAAAAGAATACATGTTTATGGCCAATCTCAGAAGTCACATTTTCTACAGCTTAAGTAAGGGCAGGAGGAAAGGGGGATGACAGGGGATGAGATGGTTGGATGGTATCACCGACTCAATGGACATGGGTTTGGGTGGACTCTGGGAGTTGGTGATGGACAGGGAGGCCTGGTGTGCTGCAGTTCATGGGGTCGCAAAGAGTCGGACACGACTGAGCAACTGAACTGAACTGAACTGAAGTAAGTACAAAAACAGTGCCAAAGACTGGACATTACTACTTCAGGACATATCTGGGAACTGCAAATAAATATCCCAAAATTTTCCTTTTTCCTCAACATGTATTCCATTCATTCAACAACTATTTGTCCCATGCAAGATTCTAGGTAAACTGTACGGAGGCAGGGAGACCAGTGACAGACTCTTGAAGTAGAGCAGGAGAAAGGAACTCATGCCAAGGTGTTCCTGGTAGAGATGGAGAAAATTATTATAGATGGAGTTGGGTGTGTTTGCAAGTAGTCTTCCTGATGGATTTAAATGTAAGGACAAAGAGTTTGAATTGTAGGTTTCAGAGGAAGTACAATTTTGGAGGTGATCAGA